GAGTGTACAGCGCAGTTGTATGCGATTGAAAACCTCTTATCTTGATGTTGTATACTGCCATGACTGTGAGTTTGTCTCACCACGGGAGGTCCTTGGTGCAGTCCGCGAGCTTCGGCGCATCCGAGACGAAGAGGGCACTCTCAAATACGTCGGCATTTCGGGATATCCTGTGCATGTCCTTTGTGAGCTGGCCGAAATGATCCTCCGCGAGACCGGGGAGCCTCTTGATATCGTCCAGTCATATGCCAACTTCACTCTGCAAAACACTCGTCTCCTCACCGAGGGACTCCAGCGACTTGTCAACGCTGGTGTCGACATTGTGCCGAATGCCAGCCCTCTCGGCATGGGTTTGCTGAGAAGGAACGGGACCCCTTTGGGAGCCATGGGTAACTGGCATCCTGCCCCAGATGGTCTTCGTCAAGCTTGCATTGATGCTGCCAAATGGGCGGATTCTCAGGGTGAGAAGCTCGAAGTGGTCGCAGTTCGTTTTGCACTCGAAAATTGGCTGCGTGAAGGTGCCAAAGTGGGAGCTCTAGGAGACCCACTCGGCGGCAATGAGGCGACCTATGGTCACGTACTCAGCCTCCCCAACGAAAAGCTTGGAGTGTCTGTCATGGGAGTCAGCAAGATTGAGGAACTCGACGAGACAATGCGAATCTGGAGAAGTGTCCTCGATGGCCTTGCGGACGATCTTGATGCTGAACCGGGAACCATCACCCCTTCAGACGCTGTCACTGATCATGAATGGTCCCTATGGCGGCGACAGAACATTCGTGTCCTTGCAAAAGGAATACGCACAGTGATTAGCCAGCCATGGGTCGATTATACCTGGCCATCACCTGATCCTGGTTTCGTGAATCGGTTGTCGACGACAATAACTCACGTGCCTCAGTCGCCCAAACTGCCTGTTGCTTCACCAGAAGGAGCAATGCCCACACCGCCCTCGGAAGCAGCAGACGACGGACACGGCAGTGATGTCCCTGGATTGTCCTGTGAAGAGTAATCGCCAAGATCACCACACTGCCAGTCCTAACTATTTCGTTCAAACCAAGTTATTGTTGGAATTCCTCGTTATTGTGATCATAACTCGAATACGTGGACTCAACGCGCGAGAACCATGGCTACAAGCTCGAATAACGCGTACCTTGGATTTCTCATTGCTGGAAAGTACACTGACTTCATCATCCAATGTCAAAATGTCGAGTTCAAAGTCCACCGGATCATAGTATGCACCCATTCCGTTATGTTGGATAAAGCTTGTGGAGGTCTTTTCCAAGTGTGCCACTATCGACAACTTTTTGATGTCCTCTACTGATCTTGATTCAGGAGGCCGAAAGTGGGAGAATCACGTTTCCGGAGATAAAGCCAGACATCATGGCTCGGGTCATCCTTTTTATGTACTCCAGAGATTACAACTCTTACCATCTCCCAACTTTCTACATGAGATTTGTCGGTGACGACACGAAGGACATGAAGGACCTGAAGGACACTGAGGATACGAGGTCCGATACATACGAAGAGGACGGCTACCGGGGCGAGAACGGAGATATCCAAGCGGGCGGCCTAAGGACTGCTTTGAATGTGAATGCCCTGATGTACCAGTGTGCCGACATGCTAGATTTCGAAGATCTGAAGCAGGTTGCATGCAGGCGATTCATAGATCACGCTAAACTTGTCTACGGGATGGATGGATTTGAAGAGCCCTTGCGCGTCGTTTACGAGTCTACAAGGGAAGATGACAAGGATCTCAGATTCCAAGTCACTTGCTTGTGCATTGAGAATTGTGGTCTCCTTGCTCGGCGAGAAAAGACGGCAGCTGTCGTTGAAGAGTACAATCCCCACCTTTGGGCTGTCTCGGTGGAGGTCAATAAGCGGAAGATGAGCATCACGAGAGCCGTTGACGACCTCAATGACGAGCTGCACTTGAGAGGTTGTAAGCATCTGATTCCAATGAAGCGGATGAGCCTGAAGGTATCCACGCAGGACGACGTACACTCCATCACAATGAAGTGTCCGCTATGCTCGGGCTGGCTCATGCCATACTGATGTGTTTAAATATTGGATAGACTGGTGTTTCAACGTTGCCATGACATCTGGTGCAGGGAGAAGACAGTGCTCGTCATGAAATGAGAATGCGACACTGATACTCATGGCTCCAAGTCTACAGCAGGGAAAGCGAAGACACGCTCTGTTTTGTTGAGACTCGGATAAGTCGTCAGTGGGAGTTTTTCTACCGTCTTGACTTCGAGATCCATATTTCGAGATGAAAAACTGAGATGGAAGAAGTGAGATCAATCAAGAATGATCGTGACCTTGACCTTGCTCTTTGTTTTGACGGCGTGCTTTCGATCACACTGGTGCCATCATTCGTCGACCTTGGTTGAGGCAGATGCCTGTCTCTGACGGCCTCGTTATTTCCACGGATTGACATACCCAAATGTTGGAAGGATGGAAGGGGAAGGCGCAGTGTGTATGACCAATCAAACGGCTCATAATGCATTTTTTTCTTCTTCATCCGTACTAAAGCAAACTTGCCACCTGGGTATCAAAAGGGTTCCAGTTCCTATCCCATGTCTACTATCACCTTTGCCGTCATTTTTGGAAACCACCAACATAAAAACACACCACACAAACACACATCCTTTGCCAAAGCGCGCCTCATTTGTTTGCTTGCAAAACGCTCAGAGGTTCATTCGATATCGACGAAAACACATTGCTCGACCGCGGCGTCGACGGCGCCTTGGATCGTCCACCTCCCGTCCCAGAAGCGTCGCCAGATCGTGTCTTCGCCTGCGACGTTGCCGACGGCGTCCTCGAGACCCCTGACTCCGACCATGCCCTCCCTTTCTCTCCACTGCCGCTCCGCCTCCTCGCCGGCGCTCTTGACCTGCGCGTCCTCGTCCTCGGCCCGGTACAGATCGCACTTGTCACACTCGCTGCACTTCATGCCCGGCGTCGGGCGGAAGTGCTCGCAGAAATGCCGGTAACCCTCACCCCCTTCCGTGTTGTCCCCCGACTTGCCAATGTTCTTCCGACACAGGTAGCACATGCTGTACCCGCACACGCACGTCAACTTGTTGCAGCCGGAGGACTTGACGAAGCTCGTCCCGCAACGGGGGCAGGTCCGCTTCACCGCCGCGGTGCGGGCGGCCTCGACCGTCTTCCGCAGAGAGAGGATCAACGGTTCGTGGCACACGTGCGGATCGTGCCAGGGTTTGAGACATTTCAAACACGATTTCCGTGAACAGGACGGTCGTCGACATATGAACCGTGAAGTACGTCTCCTAGACGCAGCGTGCCCCAAGGCGGTGTAGAACAGCGCGAGGAAGTAGCACGGAAATATGATTAAGAAGGGGAGGACAATGCAGATGATGGAGGGCATGAGCTCGAGGAGCATGATAAAGACAAAGATGTTGATCCCCGTGGGTCTGCGGAAGTGCCACGTCAGGTCCGCAGCAGAGTTGCGGTCGTAGACCTGCATGGCTTCGGCGTAGGAACAGAAAGGACAGCGGATGATGGGCAAAGCTGACTTTTGTAAATTGTCTTCGATCAGACGATCTTCAAACCTGGTCCAGGTTTCCTTGCCGGATTTCCCGCGTAGAATGGCTCGCTCAACAAGTTCCTGAGGGATATAACCGTCACATGAGTCAGTTGCTAGACACTTTAGCGTGCCTCGCTCCACTTCGACCGATTTAGCCCAGCCTTGTCCAAAGATCGCTTCATGGAGAGTTCTTCGAACACAATCGAGACAGATAGTATGGCCGGAATCTGTGCACGCCGAGACGTCCTCGAAAGGAACATCGTTGTAGCAGACCTGGCATTCATAGATGGCACCAGCCTCCTCGGCCTCTTTCAGATTAAGCGCCTGCGCAAGTTCGAGGTCGATAGTCTGCTGATGGGTCTTCTCAGCCGCCTGCACGCCGCCTGTGAATAGAGCGGAAAGTTCTTGGTCAAGCTCTTGACTCCCAGTGCTTAACAACTTCGCCGGGCTCGTGGCCGTTTTTGCTCTTTCTAGCAAAATCGACGGGGCCTCGTTCTGAGGCTTTTTCTTCTTGAACAGACTTGCAAATGTATTCCGCCATGACCTGCTCGCGATCGCTTGTAGTGTCGGCCGTGCCAGTGTATAAGAGCAGTTGACCTCGGCCAGAACCGCGTCGATGGCACTTCTGCTCAAGCCGCTGAACTCGCGCCCTAGCGTCAATTTGACGGCGTCCACATAGTCCCTCGACCTGAACTGTTCTTCAACGGAGATGGAATCCTCAGACGTTCTCGGTGGGATATTCATTCGTCCTCTGGTCCACTCCACTTTATACTTGATCATTTGCTCCGTGCATATCGGCAACCTACTGTCCCCGTCAAAACGGACGAGCAATTCGCGGAGCACTTCGAGCTTGACATCGGGGAAGAAGTCGGCGAGGACGGCCAAGTCACGATTTAGGGCGATGGAAGGGTCGTCTTCATCCTGACGAGGGAGTGACTCTCGAGAGCCGGCACGGAAGGGGTTCTTGCGCAGTACTTCGGCGAGCGTAGACCCGGGGGACGTCGATGTTGTCTGAGAGGTATTGGCGGAGGTTCGACGTGGTGAAGAAGGAGAAGAGTTAGCGGATCGTTTCGGTGACCTGGAAGAAAGCCACATCACACCGATTGCAGTACGCAGACATGGTCATTGGGAATTCTCTGGCATGTAGAAAGGATATGTTACGAGTTCGCCAGGCAGTGATTATCAATAATGATCGAGCCTTTGGAAATGCAATACGGAGTACGAAGTACGGCGTATGAGACAGTGTGCCACAGTTTATTATTATTATCCAGTGACAAGGCCGTGGCAAGCCGGGCTTTGCCTTGGTGGGCTTATAGTGACTCCCCCATTTACTACCGCCACTTCCTGCCTATTCTCGCCGCCATGTTCAGATATTTACGCAAGCAAAAAAAATTGTCAACATCAACACCACATTCCGCGAATGTGAAATGATATCAAAAACAAAACGAGACCAAAAAAAGGGCTCAATCGGGATTCGAACCCGAGGCCTGTCACAGTTCACAGTTTTCAAAACCACGAGGGGGTAACCCGAAGCGACAATCATACCACTAGACCATTGAGCCGCGTTGCAATCTGGAGCGGAATTTTACCCGCAAAATTCGGATATTCAATATATATCCCTGCTTATCATTCGCGAAGATCGTCTTGACACTATGAGGAAACATGCACATTTGTTCTGGATCAGTTTTCCTACAACAACTATCTTATGCAGTCTACGTGAAAACCTTTTCCGTCGCCGCCTCTGTCGAGAACTTTCAAGCACACCTCACTGCCCTTTCGTTGGCTTCATAAATGCATTCGCTACCGACGTGAATTTCGTCCGGCCTCCATCGGTCTCTCGCAGTCTTCCGGATTCCGGTAGAGTTCCCCTAAATCAGTGGAGCTCACTTTCAACTCGAATATGCAGACTAGTCAAGCTATGATGCTTGGTCCTCCGAGATCTAGGATATATTTATTCACTTTAACTTGACTCGGAACGACTATCAGACCAATCTCATTCATTCAGACCTGCAGTTAGAGGTCCTTTTTTTGCGATATTATTTACAATGTCTGGCTACGATTCAAGTCACTTATCACAGGCCGATTCTGGAAAGACATCCCGAACGCGGAACTTCATCGAGACCTTGTTCTCCAGAAAGGACGACTGGGATAATGCTTTCCCGGAGGCGCTGGCGGATGATCTAGTCTGGATCACGAACGGCTCGTCTCCGATATCTGGACGTTATGAAAGCAAGCAGGCCTATGCCGACAGGGTTCTCAAGCCGATGCATGAAATTGTGGAAAGGATCCCGGCCCCGACTGTCAAACATATCTTTGCCGATGGGCTCTGGGCCGTGGTTCATTGGAGATGTGAAGGTGTCAAGGCTAAGAATGGTGCGAGCTACGAACAGGACTATTGTTGGCTCATCAGGACCAACGGTCATCCGGAAAACAAGATAGTCGAGATCATATCCTGGTTCGATCCAGCCAAGCTGTCCCTGGCAATGGAAGGGACGAGTGTGACGTTTCCGGGTGCACAGTCCAAGATTGAGTAAGATCTGGGGGCTGGATTGTGGTCTGCATAGACTCTTTTGGAATTGGGGGACAGAGTACGAAGTATGTAGGGATTCAGAACGTGTTAGGACTGTTACATGGAGCCATTGGATAAGCGTTTGTACGCGGCTTTAATATTTGCTGCTATACCTCACTCCGGACTGGTATAAATCAATATTCACATATCCTTCTTCCCCGAATAGTACTCCGGATAGGTTGTCTCATAACCCAGTATCCATCGTCCCCAGAAAGCCATCACTATCAAAAAGATGCGACTCGCGATGACTCCGGGCCATGTTTCCGAAATCGGCAGAGCCAGCGGTGTATCGGCACTGTGAAGGAACACCAGTAACTGGAAAAGGCTCGGGGCCACTTTGGCGGATCTGCAATCGTCGAGGTATCCAAAGAAATTCCGGAAGAAGCGCTGTTCAGTCTCGTACTCCTCCGGGGCGAGATTTACGTCCAGCACGAGCGGCTCGGTGGAGCTTGCGTTCTCGATCCGGTGGTAGATTTGTTTTTGGATCGCTGCCGTCTTTTCGAATCCTTCTTGGTCCGACAAGACCTTCCAAGGCTTTGGGTTGAGCCCCTTGTATACGTTGACGCTGCCGGAAACGATCCGGAAATGTTCCGATTGATTGATATGGTAATGGTGAGGTGGAACCATGATGGATTGAGGTTCGTCGCCCTTTACGTGCGGAGGGTGGACATTTCTCAGCGTGTATTCGGCACCGGCGTCCCTGAACTCCAGAGATGACCTCCCATCTTCGTAGACGATGGGATTTTGATCTGCCCGGTTGGTCCGTGGGGGCAACGATGGCCTAAGAAAGGCAAACATATTGCTGAGCAAAGCTATTCGGGTGATAGTAAGCGAATGAATCAGAGATAACACTCAGGTGAGGAAGGCTATGGGAGAGAAGGAGTACCAGTTTAGAAGTTGCCACGGGGATCCGGTGCGCTTTATCAAAGTCCGGATGGAAGGGGTGCGGCCCGCCACTACGGTGGCTGGATTCCTCCCAGAGTCTTGATCCGTGTAGATATTTATTGAGGGTAACTGATTGAGACCGTCAAATACGACTGTCATGCCGGTTCGAGTGATTCGGCTCTTGATACTACCTTCTGTTTACATTTGCTGGAATACTGGCCAGTAGAGCCTTTATATTGACAGATATAACTATCATCAAATTGTACAACTTTACGTTATGAAGAACCCTTAAGTACGCGCCACATTCGTAAAAGGGGTATTTGCAAAGATGACCACAGAAGTGACTGTGGCAGTGTACCGGTATTCCGGCACGGACGTCAGGATATCAACTACTCCTTGAGAAGATTACGTCTTGCAAGTATCAGGTATATGGATGATGAAAGTCACTGATCTCCCAGATCAAAAAAGTCCAACGAAGGTTGTGCACAAAAGAGCTCCCAATCTAGATCGTCGTCAAAGTGATATTTGCCTTGGGAATAGTCCTTTACAGCAAACATCGGCTGCTCCTGAGTGATGTGGCCACCAAAGGAGTGATTCTGTAAAGGAGTAGCACGCCCTCCAGAATTGTGTGCAACGTTTTTCGGACGGCTCTGCTGTCGGGGGCCTTCACGTTCTGGGACGTGACCAGGAGCAGGCCCCATGAGTCCGAATTGTGATGGATGGATGGTCTGGGACGCCTCGGTATTTTTGAAGAAAGTAGCACAAAGTTCAATCAGGGAACTGCATAGTTTGTGCACCGCCTTCATTGAGGCGTGGTTCTGCGCCAATGAATCAAGGCCATTGGCTGTGTCCTGAAGGAGTTTAAGATCGAGAGGATCTGACGTCGCAACAATATTACTGAAAACACTGTAAATCGGCCGCAGGGGATACAGCGGAACAAGCCTAGAAACGATTAGACGAAGCTTATCGTCCGGAACGTGTAGAGAGACGAAGCCTACCATGCCAGGGAGCTCATCGACATTTCCCGAAACGAGCAAGGCTGGGAAACGAGACGGAGTAGAAGGTTTAGAGATGACAAGGAGTTTCGTGCGTGCCGCAGACATTCGTAATCGGAACGTGCATCATCGGCTCTTGATGTCAAGCGAGTCAAACTCGTCATCATAGATGAATAGATGAAATCAATATTCATCCATTCAAACTTTAAGAATTCGTCTTGGCTAGAAGGTGGTTTGGCTCGAAACTGGGCAATGATTAGGCCAAAAGTTCAAGCGTGATAGAGAGGTTAAACAAACCTCTTGAGTCTGGGCGAATATTTGATTCATTCGTCCCTGGCAAGCCCTCAATTTCTCATGGCCGGGCAGATTCTCCATACTCGTTCCAGCTTGTCGGCTGGAAGCTAGCATGGCAGTGGTCTCGCGGACCATGACCTCTTGAACCTTCGAAAGCTCTAGGAGAATGAACAGCATGGCATGAGAAGGCGTAGTGACATCTAGCCTGGAAGTATCCAATCGCATATCTACCAAGCACGATGGTTGATACATGTTGGCAGATAAGGACTTGTCAAAAATATAACATTTCAAAAACACCAGCCGGGTGTTCATGGCTTCCTCGGGCGATGCAATAGTATTGAGCTCACTCAGTGTCCTACCTCCAAGGCTGGAACAAATACGACAAGCGTTGGTGTTGAGTCGCCAGCAGCGGCGCATGTTGCCAATGTCTTGTGAAAGCATTGCCTTCAAACAGAAAGATGAGCGAATTATTCAACGTTAAAATTCAGCGGGGGCCACTTACACCTGACAAAAGTGCCTGTAACATGGGAATATCTGGAGACGAAGTGAGGTCCATTGCGTCCAGAGCTGCCATGGCATTTGCGCAATATCTGCGTTTCGAGACTTGAAGATTCTCCATCATGGCAGCACTTTGCCCTTCCGATCCAATGGCCACTAAATACGAATATGAAATGTAGTTGACGCAGACAACGTAGTGAAGCCTCATTTGTCCGTGGACTTCATGATTAATCAGAGCGAAGGCCATATCTTCAAATGCTGAGTTTGATACATTGGTGTTGATGTCGAGATAATATGTCATGGAGACACTATGGCGCTTTCCTGGGAGCACAGTGTCAATCAAAATCTCCCGGTATTGAAGTTAAACGCCTACTATCCATAATGGTATGCACAAACTCAGCGGAGGGGTATGTGGCTGGATCGTAAAAATTGCTCCTCGGAGTTAGATGTAGAGATTCGGCTTTTGGTTGCATGATGGCGACCTTTTTGGCAACTTGGATAGCAGCTTCAAGAGCTCGACGCCTGTCGGCATCGCCGTGACCTGGTTGATGCCGCTGTTGTGACGGTGTAAGGTATCTTTGCAAATCGATAGTTCCCAATTCCTCATCTCGAGGGTCAGGGCCGTCTCTGGATTGGTCAGGTGAGTTGCCAACCTCAGCATCTGTGTCTTCTACCGACGGAGAGCGTGGCGCCTGGCTTTCTTCGCGAGCCTCATGCCCCTGGCTTGCACGTGAAGTTACTTCCTCCGAAGCATGAGTTCGCCTTCTCTTTGCTGGATGTGTCGTGGTAGAAGAGCCTCCATCATGTATTGATGTCCATCCGGGATCATTCATCTGAGAATCACCTGATTGAGGTCTGGACGTTCTTCGTGGAAGTGAATCTACAAGTCTACTGATGCCTTCGAGGACCATATTGAGTCGGTCATCCTCATTCTTGTTCTGCTTGGCGCTTGATTGCTTGGGTCGCTGCCGAAGACAATCGGCGCGTGCCACGAGGCAGTTGGCGCATGGACTTTGTCGGTTACATCTGATCTGATAGTCGTCAGCCTCATTTGAACGACAAGTCCTGTTAGGTCTGGGCTGCGATGCCTATTGACCTTTTTGTAGTGACAAAGATCACACTTTGATGCAAGAGTCAGCTCTGGACGACATTGATGTACTGCTTTTGAGACTCACCGCCGAGGGCAGCCGTTGATCTTTGTGAGGATTCATTGTGGCCTGATGAGAGTAATGTCAGCCCGGCGATCCGGGCCAGAAGGATAACACCAAGTCAAGGCAGCGCACTCTTGCCCACAGTATTTACCTCGTACGTTGACTTCCTG